TGCGGTTACGCCGACGGCGTCACTGATGACGTTATCAGTGACGCTGACGATGCCGATGCCGGCATCGTCACTGAGGACGTCATTGGCATCGTCATCGTCACTGATGACGTCACCAGTGGCGTCACGCGTCCCATAATTCACCGCGCGATTACGCCGACGCCGACGCCGCTCAAGCCTGAAACGGGCGCCTAAGAGCGGCGCACCAAGAAAAATACACTGTGTTTTCGTGAATACATTCAAAAATATTTCCGAATAAAGTGGTTGAGAAGAAAAAAAATTGCAGTGGCTTAGCTTGGCTAGGCCAGGATATACGTAGCGTGAGCTTAGGTTGAGCTGGTTATTCTTAGCTTTCCTGGTTGTCTAGGATTAGATTATCATGCTTACTGCTGCTTCAATGACACACACACGGTATACGCATTACGCGACTACTTCGCGATCCGATGAGTTAAGCTTCTCCGCTCATCTGCGCCGCTGAGCAGCAATTTCGCTCTCCTTCTCCATGGCTATACCATACTGGCAAACACCCCGCTATATGTATACCCCCTGATACCTCTGCACATGCGCACAAGATGAGAGGCGCTATCGAGCGGCTCTGGTGCAGCGTCAGACTTGGCTACTGCGCAACGGAGGCGCACAGCTGGGCAAGCGGCGGCGCCAGTGCATCTGCCGCGGCTATGACGTCACTCCTCTGGAATGCGCAGACCGCCGAGGCACGCGGCGGCGGCGGCTCCGGCGCGCCAGCTGTGCAGCCGCCTCGGTGGCTCCGATGCGAGAGCACTGGCCTACGGATCCCCATGTGGCGGGTTCGAATACCGGCCGAGGTGCCCGCAATCTGACGGAGCCTTTTTGCGGAGGAGGCGCCGTGTAACCGAGCTTTCGGTTGCACGTCAAAAGATCCCCAGGTGGTCCAGATTAATCCTCAGTCATCCGCTCTGGCGTGCCAGATGCCCGTCGTTGGTTTTGCACGTAAAACCCCCGAATTCGACTTTTACGACAGCTATGCGCCGTGTGACGTCACTGCTCCTCGCGCATGCGCAGCAGGGCTCTCCAAGAGCCACGCGAAACTGCTCAACCTCGGCCAGTGTAGCTCACGCTACAAAGATCAAGTCGTAAGCAGACAGTTGCGGCGGACGCCCGGGATTGCATGCAACACACTTATTAGCAATTTAATTACCTTAAATTTACTTATTACCATAGAATTAGCAAAAATAAACATGGTTTCAATTACAAACTTGCTGCGTGTCATCGAAAGCCCCCAAATCAGTTAATTTTAGTAATACTTGAAGCACGTGGTCAGTACGGGCGTGCGCTAGAGTTACCACTCGTGTAGCAAACGGAAGGCTGGCGATGCGAAAACTTGGATGATCGTCTTATCCACCGTGCTTTTCCATCGACAGCCTTACGACTGTTGCACGAGCGGGAAATGGAGGGGAGCCCGCGAACAGCTTTAATCAGCGCTCAAAATGGGAGAGGGAACCCTTGCCTGTACCTTCCACTGCATTGCCGAGAAAAGTTGTCCCCGAATATCACTTAGTTTTTCATCACGTGCCTTGCATACGTCTTTAGAACTTACATATGAAAACTGTTTTCTAATTATTTTTACAATCTCGCTTTTCTTTTCGTTTACTCCTATGAAACGAGGTTTCTTTTTTTGTGTTGGTAATGCAATGTAATGTATTCGGTAGAAATAGAGTTTATCACAAGATGTTTTGACATGAAACCACGCTCAATTGAGTTTTTAATGTCTCTTCCTTTGGTTCTATTCTTCAAACATAGGTATTTTTGCTGGCGAGCTGGTATACATTTATGAATGCACTAAAAGCAAGGAACGAAATATAAATGATAGAGAAATAGTATCAACTAACTGATCTTGACCTTATTAGTTTATTCGAGATAAGATACCGTAGTATACCGATCATAATGCTGCCCGAAATGCAAACGTTTTTAAAGTTTAGGGGAGTATATATTTACTAAACAGTGATTTTTTTATTAAGAATGCCGTCAACAACTTTCACTGACCACAAAGGTTGATTCTAGCATGTTTCTAATATTGAACCGGTAAGCATCACCAACAAAGAAAGTAAATAGTAGTTTTGTGAACGTTTGGAAAGACTGCTCGCGACGCTATAATGACGTCTCCTAGTAAGTGTAGGTATGCGGAGGGCAAGTTCGTCTGGTTCTTGCGCAGAGGGTAGTGGTGACGTCAGAACGCCGAGCCCTGATTGGCTGATCGCGAACCCCTATCTGAGCGTCGTCTGCTCCTTTGCAACGTCGTCTGCTCGCAACGTCGTCTGCGTCTGTCTTACCTTTCCTACGACTTTCGGAAGTGCAGGTCTTTACGAGTGAGCTCGATTTCGCCTTTCAGAGAGGGCAGACCAAATAACTCGAGCGGTACGTTGTTTTTGTCTACCTTTCTTCCGTCTGTCGGAGATTCACCGCTTTTTCACCGGCGAGAACGCGGCCTTCGAAAAAGATTTGTGTGTGTCCTTAGTTCCTCTTCTTCCCCTCGCCAGGGATTATTTACGTCATTTTTGTCCGACTCGCTTGCACCTTTGCATTTTATTGAATTATAACAATAATTTCTTCTTGGTGTCAACGAGTCTACGACATAACTTCCGCGATACGTTCGACGCCGCTCGGGTAGCTCGATCGAGCTTGCTCGGATTCTCTTCCACAGATTAGCACAGGTTTTCAAACTTTTGCCACTTGGTTTTACGCCACACATACATACCATAATACGCTAACTGAAAGCAGCCTTTTAGTCGAGCGAGAAAGTTGTGACAACAAGCAGCAATCGAGCACGTTTGGGCTATGATGTGCTCTAGGCACGTAGCCAGAGGGGTGGCCCATGGGGCCCGGGCCCCCTCCGAAATCTTCCATTTTGCTGGGGACTCCTCTCCCCCCTCCCCCTCATACAACATTTTATCACGGGCGGGCCCCCTCCGAAAGAAAATCCTGGCTACGTGCCTGATGTGCTCACAGTATCGATCGCATAGCCGTATTTGTTTATTTACAGTCACTACATCGGCTGTCATTTGTCTTTAGCTGATTATTTTTGAACAACTCATTAAACGCGAGGTACCATTCACGAAACTCGTTCAACTAAACGTTTTAACATAGTGATGATAATGGTGTTTACTTCTTACCTGAGCGAGCAACCTGCCGCGGCATGCTGCTCTTGGGGCGTTGCAGCCACTGCTGTGGAAGGTCCGTCTTGCAGTCCATTTAGAGCCGCGTACAGTGCGGTAGCCACCATGTGGCTGCACTTTGCGGCCCCGCGAGGGCACTCACAGTGACTCTCGAAAATGTCACCTTTATCGGAGAGCGTCATCTTTACCGCGTAGCTACAATTCTTAAACGACTCCTGGACATTCGCAACTAGAGTGAAATCCTTCACCTCAAAAGAAAGGACGTATCCTTCAAGGTATGTCCTTTCGCCTTTTTCGAAGGCCGCGTTCTCACCGGTGAAAAAGCGGTGAATCTCTGACAGGCGCAGGAAAGGTAAAGCAGCCATCGCTTTGAATAGCCGACGTAAAGCGGACCCGCCGACGCCGTTAAAGAGTGAGAAGTCTCGCCGCACACGAAAGGAGGGAAAACGTATTTGGGAGGGAACTTGCGGACATTAACCACCCTCTCCCTCTCGGTTCTTAGCAAACAAACCTCGGCGCCCCGAGACACCTCGCCCGCGAGTCCTTCGACTTCTCTCCTTGATGCGCGTCAGCTATTGTTAGACAAAACCAACGCACCGCTCGAGTTATTTCGTGTGCCCTCTCTGAAAGCCGAAGTCGAGCTCGCTTGTAAAGACCTGCACTTCCGAAAGTCGCAGGAAAGGTAAGACAGACGCAGACGACGTTGCGAGCAGACGACGTTGCAAAGGAGCAGACGACGGGGGGGGGGGGGGGGGCGCGATCAGCCAATCAGGGCTCGGCGTTCTGACGTCACCGCTACCCCTGCGCAAGGAGCAGACGAACTTGCCCTCCGCATACTTCAAATAAAATAGATATGGGCCCAGCACTATGAACAAATGGAGGCTGTCTATTTTTATTTCGAACTGATTTCTTAAAAAAAAAAAGGATGAGAGTTACATGGCTGCATATCCAGCCAGTGGCGTTACGAGGGTCAGCAGCACAATGGGCGGTGGCCCACCGCAACAACCCCCCCCCCCCCCCCCCCCCCCCCGCTCTCGCGTGGCCCGCCGCGACTCCCCCACCCTCCGCTCTATGGCCGCCCCCCCCCCCCCCCCCCCTTGTGACGCCACTGTATCCAACACTTATTTATCAGGCACATCGGACATTAAGGCAATAGCCGTCGCTGTAAGTAGCTTTCGAAATATTAGTTTTACGGGTCACGTTGCAACTGCGTTATTGACGGAAATAACTATTAGGGGCCACGCCAATTTAAAGAGTTTGCTTACAGGCAAAGGCTTTTTGAGCCATCGATAGGTTGTAGCAATTTTTCTCCAGATCTTTAAAATTGCGCCCAAAAAGAGCGCCCGAAGCCCTGCTCACTATGACGTTTAGAAGAGTGACATTGTCCTCTCAGGCACGTTGTCACATGACTCATTCGATTCACCTGCATCAGCCTGCAGAAAAGTGCAGATCTGTGTACTTCCGGTTGTTTTCAGATGGGCTTCACCCGTGGCAGTCTGCACCGAGTGCCTCTGGTGCAGGTAAATGGAACGAACCCAGTCTCTCGGTGGCGCGTCCTTAGTGGACGTGCCGACAACACTGTTGAAATAAGGACGACATGACTGAAACGAGTACTTTACCCTTCTAGGCAACATTACGAGCAAGAACTCGGGCACTTTTTTTTTTTTTCACGCGAATAATTTTTTTTTATTCTGCTTTGCTTAGTGTTAATTGGATCTTGTGTGCATCGTACAAGAGGAATAAACAAAAAGTATAGAGACTGTGGGTTTAAAATATACTGTCGGTTTAAAACAGCAGCGCTAGAGAAACAACAAGTACTGCATCTATTTCCATACCTTAAAAGCAACTTACCATCCATTCATAGGGACACATTGTACTGTCGCAGGCGAAGCAACTAACCAATCGCTTCCGGCACATGAAGTCTAGATGAATTTGACGGTTTCTGTTCAGAACCTTGACGCCGCAGTCGGAACACTCCCTTTCCATCATCGGACACTGATACTTGTGCATCTGGGAAAAAGCATACGTTTCTGCATACATCCGTGAAGAGTATTACAAAAAAAATAAAGCCAGCGTGGGTTACAAACTGGGAACAGACAATTAAAATCTCAGCACTTTTGTCCACCATCAGGAAAAAAGAATACCAGGTATTTTTGTTAATCCTTTCAGAAATTTCTACTAATAGAGTGGTTGAGAAAGAAAAAAACTTGTAGTAAACACAGTTGCGGCGGACGTCTGGGATTGCATACAACACACATATTAGCAATATAATGATCTAATATGTACTTATTAACATTTGCATTAGTAAAAATAAACATGGTTTCCATTACAAACTTGCTGCGCGTCATCGAAAGCCCCTAAATCAGTTAATTTTAAGAACACTTGAAGCACGTGGTCAGCACGGGCGTGCGCTAGAGTTATCACTCGTGTGGCATACAGAAGGCTGGCGATGCAAAAACTTGGATGATTGTCTTATCCACTGTGTTTTCGCATCGACAGCCTTACGGCTGTTGCACGAGCGGGAATGGAGGGGAGCCCGCGCACAGCTATAATCAGCGCTCAAAATGGGAGGGGGTACCCTTGCCTGTACCTTCCACTGCATTGCCAAGAAAAGTTGCCCCCGAATATCGTTTAATTGTTCATGGCGTGCCTTGCATACGTCTTTAGAACTTACATATGATAACCATTTTCTAGTTATTTTTACAATGTCGCTTTTTTTTTTTCGTTTACTCCTATGCAACGAGGTTTTTTTTTTGTTTTTTTTTTTTTTTTGTGATGTAATGTAATGTATTCAGTAGAAATAGAATGTATCACCAGATGCTCTGACATGAAACCACGCTCGATTGAGTTTTAATGTATTTTCCACTGGTTCTATTCTTCATTATGTGGTGAAGTAATATTTATATTAGGACATTTTACCAAAGCTTGAAACCGTAGCTCGCTTAGTCGTGCTAACAAACACTTTTGGCGCTGAGGTATCGAAGCGCTCGGATGGTGGAGTGCTGTTCTCTAGACCCGACTCCAGTACAAAAAGCTGGACGATGGAAATAGAGTGTCCAGTGCTTCACCCCACTACAACGTCTACCACGGCGAGTAGGGTGTATTTTTTTTATGATTAGGAGCAAATAGGAAAACGAAATTCGAAAGCCTTTTGTGTGCGTATCGTAAACACTTCAGTGAAAGTGACTCCGTGTATGCTGTTGGTTCCAGCGTGTTCTGCGAGTGCTGGTCTCTTATTACTTCCGACTTTATTCCTTTCTTAATTTTATAAACCAGTAATCAAACATTTCCTCGGAATAACTGGCAGGAGGATGCCGTGGCTGGCTTCCGGAGTCGTTTCAATTAAATCCTTGCCTATTCACCCTATTGATGCAAAACGTGCGGGACCCCCTCGAGATTGAAGTCGGTGACATTTCAATAAGTCGGTGACACTTCAGCGTCCCAAAACGATGAGGTGTACGCCTTCTATGAATTGCTACCGTATGTCTGTTTCATTTTGCGAGCCCAAATGCCCATAATCCGTGCTGTGCTTTTCACCGAGCGATTTTAACTTTGCAAACAATTCTTAGTAAAAAGTGGATAGGACTAATGAATCAATCACCTGAATTTGCAGGGCCAACACCGGCAATTTAAAAATTTCTGAAAATTTCTGCTTTTCTTTCGAATAGGAGTCTCGATGGGACAAACTTCTTTGCCTCGTATTGGATGCGGGAGGGCAGTTGCAAACGAGCATTTGGTCGTCAGCAACTGTAGAGTCACACTTGGATAGAAGCGTCGGTATCGGCAAGCTCAATGTAACTAAAACAAGTGGGCGGCGCTTTGCAACGCAACTATGCGCGCCTCCACAGCTAAGAAGACAGCACGTCATTTACCCTGAGGATTGCAAAACCTTTTTCTACACCATCCTCCACAGAACTGAAAAAAAAACTAGAATCAGGGAGGCTGTGAATTGCCCTGACGCATGCAGTGCAAGCTGTAATGAGAAGCTCCCCTACCGAAAAATCCGGTATAACTTTTCGCTATCCCGATTATGGAAACGGAAATCTATCTGGGTTCTATCCGGATTCTATCTGGAATTTAGTTTTTCAGAGATTATTCCTTTGTCCGCAATCTGTATTTCGGGTTTCCAGAAACAAATTTCCGGTTCCATAATCCGGATAGTGAAAAGTTATACCGGATTTTTCGGTAGGGTCCAGGCTTGTTTTTGAACATTTTGAAGTTTTTTACTATAAAAAGCAACTTCAAAGCGCTGGTATTCATTAGGAGTGTCGCTCACAAAAAACGCCTTACACTTATTTAAAAAATTTATATATAAACTATTCTTAATCTGCATAGATGCGAACTAACATAGCCACTCCGTGCTCTGACTTAGCGCGTCGTCTGCACGCATTCTACCACCTCCGTCACAGGAGGGCGGCCGCGAGGTGGCGCCACTTAAACACCTCGTCACCGATATACCAATTGAAAAAGTTCGCGAAGAGGCAACGGCTTTTGCAGTCATCGATCAGTTGTCGCGATTTTTCACTCAATTTTAGAACTGCTAAAAAAAAGCGCCGGAAGCCCTACTCACACTGACACTTAGAAGAGTGACGTAATAATCTCAATTACGTTGTCACTGGGGTTATTCTTTTTTGCCCTTCACCAGCCTGCGCCGGTGCAGAAAAGTGAGAGATAATGTACTTCCTTTGTTTTCAGATAGGCTGCACCCGTAAATCGAATACGGCGGTCTGCACCGAGTGCAGGAGGTGAAGGTTATTCGAACCAGACCACTACCTCGGTGGCGCGTCCTTGTTAGAGGGGCCGACAACACACTGTTGAGATAGTGACGACATGACTGACGACTACGTCACTCGTCTGAGCATCATTGTGGGCCGTGTTTCAGGCGCTTTTTGCGTGCAATTTTGAACCAGTTTTTGTTTTTATCTCTTCTTTTTAGTATTATCTGGATCTTGTCTGCATCACAACAAGAAAAAGAGAAATAAAGAATCTTATAAACTCGGCGCTAAAGAAATACATTGGGTATTCATTAAAACAAAAAAAAGCAGCGGGGGGAGAGACATCAAATACTGCACTCTCCGAGCCTTAAAAAGCACTTACGCCGAGGTCCTCATAAATCATTATACTGTTGCAGGTGGCACAAAAAACCAATTGCTCCTGGCACTCCATGTCTTGATTATTTTGTAGGCTTTCGTTGAGAACGTTGACATCGCCGTCGGAACCCTTCCTTTCGGTCTTCGGACACTCAGACTTGTGTTTCTGGGAAGAGGAACACACTTGGGCATACACTGGTGATGATCGTAAAAAAATAACTAAAAACTAGCGTAAATTGCTAACTGGCAACAGAAAAAAAAAATCGCAGTACTTTTGCTGACCATCAAGAAAAAAATAATACCCGGTGTTCCTACTAATACTTTCGAAACTCTATAAATAGGGTGATTCAGAAAAAAAAAATTTTTGGGAACAAAATGACAGTTACAGCGGACGCCGGGTTGTAAGAGAAACACTAATTAGCGAAATAATTACGTAACATTTATTTGCTTGGGAGAAGATCGTGTTGGTTTAAGTCATGGATGAAGAAAGAATAAAACAATTAAAACAGGGACAACACAACCACATCTTTCAACTAGCAACAGACGAGTAAACTTTCAAAAGCGAGCAGCCGACTATACCCAGTAGGAGTAGGGGAGAGAAGGGGAGAGAAGGAAAGATAAGAAACGCGAAGTACAAGTCAGGGTGGTAGGGTTATCTCTGATTATAAAAATTCAACCTCAGTTTTCGTCAGCAGGAGGGAAGGGTTTGACACATTGTTTTTTGCTGTGGTAATGGCGAATGATTCTATGATTCCCCTGCCGAATCTGCTGTCATGCCCCCCCCCCCCCCCCCCCCCAGGATTTTTGTGTAATGAAAGAGGGCATGACAATGCAAACACGAACGGGCATGTATGACTATGGGATGATAAAGAATCTAGAGAGACATTAGAAACTTCGTTGTGATGTTCGCGGAGTCTGTGATTGGTGCATCTGCCGGTCTGTCCTATGTATTGATGGCCGCAGCCATCAATACCGATCCTATCTGTAATGGAAAGGATGATTTGCGGGCCTGATCGCCAGTCACCAGCCACAAAAAAGAAAGCCCGATTCGCCGTCATTCCTTACGTACACAATTCGGCCCACCGGATAAGATCCATCGCCTCAAAGTTCGGCACGAAGTTTGTCTTCTCGTGCCGCATGCGTCTTAAACAACTCTGTCAACAAGTGAACAACAACCGGTTTCCGATTGGCTGCACTGTTAAACACGAAAAGAAATCCGTTCCATGCAAAGAGAAGAAAGTTTACTCCATCCCCTTGAGCTGCGGCCTTCAATACATAGGACAGACCGGCAGATGCACCATTCACAGACTCCGCGAACATCACAACGAAGTTTCTAAGGCCTCTCTAGATTCTTAATCATCCCATAGTCATACATGCCCGTTCGTGTTTGCATTGTCATCCCCTCTTTCATGACACGAAAATCCTGGGGGGGGGGGGGGGGGCATGACAGCAGATTCGGCAGGGAAATCATAGAATCATTCGCCATGACCACAGCAAAAAAACAACGTGTCTAACCCTTCCCTCCTGCTGACGAAAACTTAGGTTGAATTTTTAAAATCCGAGATAACCCTACCACCCCGACTTGCACTTCGCGTTTCTTTTCTTTCCTTCTCTCCCCCTTCTCTCCCCTACTCCTACTGGGTAGAGTCGGCTGCTCGCTTATGAAAGTTTACTCGTCTGTTACTAGTTGAAAGATGTGGTTGTGTTGTCCCTGTTTTAATTGTTTTATTCTTTCTTCATCCATAACATTTACTTATTACCTTCTAATTAATAAAGATTAACATGGTTTCTAATATGAACTTGCTGAGTCCTACCAGAAAACCTAAATCAGTTTATTTTAAAACGACTTGAAACACGTGAGAAGAGCGGGCAAGTTCTGAAGTTTCCGTTTTTTTAGCAAACGGAAAGCTGGCGAAGCGCAAAACTAACTGTTATCTTATGTATCGAGTCTTCCCATCACCAGGCTTCCGCCTGCTGCAGGAGTTGAAACTTGAGCAATCCCCCCCCCCCCCCCCTCTTCCCGCTGCTTCCCACGTGCTTCAAGATCTCTTAAATTGACGAACTTTGGAGTTTTGTATGACGCGTAGAAAGTTTCTAATTGCAGTCATATGTTTGTTCTGACTAATTAAAAGGTTATTCAAATTTTAGTTTAATAGTTTGCTAATTAGTGTGTATTTCCAATATCCCTGATCTCTGCCTTGGGTGACAGTTTGTTCCCTAAGATAGTTTTCTTTTTCCCCAACCACCCCTTTTTTATGTAATTTTTTTTTTAATATTTGCAAAACTCCCGGTATGAACATAGAATGAAGCCGGAAAGATATCAGCACACTCTCAAACTCGCCGTTCATCGCACAAAAAAAAAACTTCGATTTTTGTGAGGAGTGGTGTAATACGGAGCGCAGGTCACGACGTCGACGCTATGATGTCAGAACTCCCAGCTCTTATTGGCTGATTGAAAATAGTGGGTATACCTCAAGGCATCTAGCATTGAGGTCATTCTAATCTAATCCAATGAGAACTCAGCGTCGTGCTGACGTCAGCACAACCCCTGCTCAGAAAGCAGATGACTTGCTCTCCGCAAAGTCATGAGTCAAAGGGCGGACAGTGCCTGAACAATGGCATCAATGAGTCCTAAAGTTAGGTGACGTCTTTTTTATAAAGGCATTTACATGACTTCTCATTACTCGAAACTTCAACCAATAGGTTCACAACATTTTGTTTTGTGCTTTTTGTTTGTACATACGTGTTTATGCGAAAAACTTTGAATAACATATCATAACAATTATTTTTGTTCTTTGTGGTATGCATTATTGTTGGTACATCCCGTGTAAAGTTTGAAGTTATTCTAGTATCAAAACAATGAGGTAGAAGTAGTGCAATTAGAAGTACGGTGGTGCAACTTTTCTTTAACACAGATGAGGGAGCATCGCATTATTGAATACTCATCAGTCTCATTTTGCGAAACGCTATACAAAATAGAATTTTTAATTATAGCCACCGGGCATTCATAATTTAATAAAGTAATAAATTATGTAGAAATGTAAAGCTATTAGCAATTAAGTATTTTCATTTTAGGCTAATAATTAATGAAAATATTACAGCGAATGATGCCTTTCGTCTAAATCTTCGTGTACCAACAGGGTGTTCTTTTTTTGAAAACGAATACTTGCTTAACTTTATTAGAATACAATGTATCAATGCTGCCTTATAGTGATACTTCAACGAAATGCGAAATACTATTCCCGCCGTGTCCAGAAATAGGCTGAATATGACCCACAATATCCGTAAATGAGAATCGCAGGTTTGTAGTTTGAGCCTCCGTGGCTGTATTTTTCGTTATAAACGGCCCCCACTATGGCAAGCGCTCGGAAAGCAGCGAGCGGAGAGCACGTGACATCCTGCGCAATCGTGATGTAGACTGTATCGGGACCAGCGAAGCTGAGGCGAGGCTGACGTCGACAGGATGTCGTAGCCGTTCCAGCCACCGATCGAAGCGGCCGAAGCACCCCATCAATCGGGCCACCGCAACTAACCGCAAACAACGTTACCCGCAAACCTGCTCTTGTACGAATTTCGAGTGACAAGTTAATCCGAGACTTGTACGGAATCCGTTACAAGGAACGAAATTTCTTGTAATCCATTCAATAATATCAGTAATTTAGTCACTGGATTATATAGTTGCTAGAGTAATTGTAAAATAATTCCCTTACATATTTACGTAACCGATTCGTTGTAATCTCTTAGATTTTTTTCACAACTCCCACCCCTTACCACGTCCTAAAAAGTGGTCCCTTTGGGCGCGATCCTGGCGGTGCCACAGCAGCAATGGTGAATCTGGCAGACGCCTGTTCTATTGCAGGTCCCTCTCGACCTTGGCCGTCAACGGAAGTTTAGCAGCCAAGAGTTGGGTCTCCACGACGACAGGGAGTCTTGCCTTCACCCGTACTTTTGTTCATGACTCGTAGGTCCAAACGCCAGGACCGCGACATCCATTAACAAGACAATTTGGCTTTTGTGACGTCATTTGTTACCCCTTCGGGAGCACTTTTGATGTATGGACGCGATAGGACGCTAAACACACATGTCGAAGATACGCTTGAGGCACCTTAGTACAACAAATCGCGAGCATTTTCCTCACCTTTTCTAAAGAGTAGGCGTAAAACGTTTCACAGTTCTCGCAGCGCACAAGACGCCATGGACATTGGAGGTTATGCTTGGTGCTCTCCTTGTTCAGCATCTCGCTCTTACAGCAGATGCAGTCAATTGGCCTCTCGAGGCATTCTTGATAATGATCCTTCATATTGTGATAAGCAATATAAAACATGTTAAAGACTACTTGCACAATGATTTTCATACACGCCGAACTGTTGTTAGAAACTGTACATATAAAATCTCCTTATTAATGGGAAGGAAGTCAAATTTATGAATATTTTATTCGATTAATAAAGGCACTTTATTCTTTCACTAATAAAGAACCCGGATTTTTGTTTCTGCGATATGTAACGACTAAAATAGAAGTTTATCAGAAATATATAGGTAAGCGAAGAAACAGTCGTTCCAGCAAGGAAACGGATTTTTTTTTTTTTTTTATCTTTCCCAAGTAGCAGAAGAGGGTGGGGCCCATGTGGGCCCTTCATAGGCCCAAGTTGCAATGGAGGCTCGGGCAGCCACTACGAAACCTACGTTTCTCCCACGTAAGCGCAGCGTGGGCATGCCCAATATGGGCTTCCCTTACAGTTCCGTGGTGGGTCCGACCTCGGATATGCGAGGGCAAAGTTGGGCACACCGTGGCCACTCCCAACCTTGGCTTCTCATGCAATACCTCCGTGGGTCCACTTCGGCTATGCGGGGTCAAAGTTAGCAAAAACGTGGGCTCCACGGGGGCACCGCGCGGGCATACCAAACTTGGGCAGACCATGCAATGCCCCTGTGGGTCCTCCTTCGGCTATTCGCGTGTCCAGCTCGTTGCTCGCCCTCCCGCGGCGGAAACGGGAAGCGCTCTAGTGAGGGTCCCCCGATTCTCCTGCTCAGCGGGCACGGCGGAGCTGCTCGCGATCATGGCTCGCGAAATGTCATTTCCGAATGCAAACAACACTCTTCACTGTCCCAACGTAGTGCTGCAGTCAGTACGGGATTTTACCTTATTAGAAAGTCTTAGCATTGCGTTTGCGTTAAAGTTGCGTGCCCCACGTTGTGCGTGCGCCTCATTGCCAGGCGCCAATCCAAGACCGCAATTTCGGGCTCCGCGCGCGCGCTAACGCAAACACACAGCGCTTGCGTTCGCTCGTATACGCAATACTAAACCTCAGAACTGTTTCACCGGCTTCCAAAGCCAACGCAACGTGCTGCAGTGAGCAGACGTGCAGGCAGGTAGGCGTTCATTCGAGTTGGAAAGTCTGAGATTGGCAAAACGACGGCGCGTAAAAATGAAAGGGACAAAATGTTATAAAAATATTGGTATATATATATATATATTAAAAATACCTTTTTTCTTTTGGGGCATTTGGCCTGGAAGGAGTTTTGGCGGCGAATTTGTAACTCTTGCCGATTGTCAAAAGTAGCGACTTTGATAGCAAAATATGTTTTACCCACAATGAATGTAATGTTACATGGATTTATCACATTAGCGAGAATGTTTCGATTGATTTTAGACTATCTTCATATTATGACTTGGCAATTAAAAATGCTGCATTTGACACCAATGATGATAATTAGCACACTTTTGATTGTCATAATTGATCGCGCGTTTACAGTTAGATCATAACAAACAAATGTTTGAAAATTGCGTATTAAAATATCTGAATTTTAATAATATTATTAATACAAATCACGGCAATGTATGCCCCAAATTAACGCCACAATCACAAAAATACGCTATTTAAACATGATAGTCTTTCCAGAGAAAGGTAGAATTGTTTTCTTTTTTCTTTTTAGCATATGAAGAACTCTGACATAGTTATCAAGAGAGGCAAACAGTCAAACACTGGATGCAATATAAAGTCCTATGCGTCACTCGTTCCTATAAAAAACACAATCACGCACACTTCAGCTGTCTGACTCGGATTCCGTCTTTGGGATGTTGTAGTGAGAACTGCGTTTATTAATTCATACTGCGGGCATATTGTAAAAATTTGATTTATTCTGTTATTCTTCTGCTAGGAATACTGTTAAAGCAATTAATCACCTAAATATCCAAAACCCATTAAAAGGCCCGCAGTTCATTATTTCACATCACAATTATCTGAGCGAGAAAAGGCAGCGAGAACGCACAAATATCAGTACAGATTTTTTTCAAAACTACAAGATTCTATGTCACCTCTAAGGTGTATGAAAGACCGTCTTTAAAGGGACACTGAAATCTCTAAAATATTTGGAAGTGCCTGAATCGAACATGTATGTCACAAAATAACGTTTTAGGAAACAACTTCTTTAACTAAATAAGTACGATTGGAGACTCATCTTGAGTTATGAACGAATTTGAAATAAGACCTATATCGAGAAATTAAATTCAAAATAGCGGTTAGTTTCGGTTTCGCTCCAGAATTAAAACCTGCCTCCTGGAGTAAGTGTTATGCCAAACATCGTTTTTGTTTTCAGGATAATTAGGTGACCTGCGCTGAAAACACCCTAGCCTCCTCGTATTACCAGAAATAATTTGTGTCACTTAGTAAAGCCAGCACACTAGACACGCTCAGCAGCGGCATTCATCTCCGACCCTCACTATAACCGACATTTTGGAAAACGAGTGGCGCCACCTATAGTTCGTTGGAGTCGCGAATACGAGGTCAAAGGTAGCATAGATGTGGGCTCCAAGGGGGCAAAGCGTGGGCACGTCAAATTGGACCTCCTCTGCAACTCCCAAAACGGCAATTTCCGCTAATATTGAAAATATTTACTGCACATTCTAGAAATTCAACATAACAGATCGGCTTAAGTTAATACCAAATCACAGAGGATCGTAATTTTAGGCGTGAGAAATATTTAGCTTACTGAAGTTTACTACTAACTTACTATTCAGTGTATGTTGACATTGTTTTACGGGGATAGAATGTTTTAAGCAGAGTACTGATTGAGAGAGTGAATCCGAAACCCGCTTGTCATATCAGCGGCCGATGAGTTAAGTTTTCACGTGCGTTCCCGTGAACCAGTTTCTTGAACGGTCCCCCGAGTTTCTTTTTGGAAGTCATGGCGGCGCCTTCCGCGCCGACGAAGGCACAATGTTTTTTCTTCAACTTTCCAAGCAATACTGCAGTCGACGCGATAATGGACACGTTCCAAGTTGCCGCCAGCCCCAAAGGCTTAAAGTACCTTTAGCACCAGGGTAGGGCGAGGATTATGGCAGCCGTCGGCAGCATGGCTGTTGCCGACCGTTTAGTAGCTCAAGGAGACTTGGTGCTTGGCAACGTGGTGGTTCCTCTGGAGCTAGTTGGCGCCCAACTCCTCCACGTGTCCGTCTACCTTTTGTTCCCTTACGTGACTCAGGAACCCGTCGTCCAAGCCCTCAGCACGTTTGGAAAAGTGAAGGGCATTTCCTATGTGACCTTCCGTGACCGCCCAGACATCGTGACCGGCACCAGGGTGATGAAGGTGGAGATGACCAAACCTATCCTCAACCTCATCAACATCCGGGGCCACCGCGTCATGGTGGACTACAGAGGACTGCGGCGAGTGTGCAGCAAGTGTGGGCAGGAGGGTCACATCGGGCCTGCCTGCAAGACCCCACGGTGTAACCAGTCTGCGGTTTTTGGCCACGCAACAGCCGGCTGCACCAACCCATGCCAGCGGTGTGGGCATGCCCACGCGACGGTGGACTGCACACAACACTAGACCTATGCCGCCGTCACGCAGTCGACAACCGCCCTGCCATTTCGCGAGGCGCCCCAGAAGGCTGCAACTATCCCCGTTGTCTCCCCGGCGTCAGAACAACCTAAGGATGACCAGAATCTGTCCATCCACCCACAAGACTCGCCCCCCCACCCCTCCCTTCTCCCTCATGGTGACCCGGTCGCTGCCCACGACTCCCAGTCGAGATAAGCGGATAGCCCAAGTCCCTATGCTGACCGCCTTTGTCGTGGTCGAGGACGACGAAGGGACTCCCGGCCAAGGGCATCCCCAACACCCCCTCGCCCGCCTCCCATCGTGTTTCGGCGACTTCTGGCATGCTGGCGTCTCTGGCCGCCGACGCCTAGGGAGGCTCAAGTGAGGGTGGGTGCAACTGCTAGATCGGCGATCACGGGACATGGACGCCATTTAATTGCTAAATTTTGCTGGGAGTCTATGGGGCAAAGGGTCGTTTTCTTTCCTAACTCAGGTCATAAAAGCCCATTAAGGTGCTTGAATAATTTACACAAGGTATAAATGATTACTTTTCCATAGCCACCAGTTTTGTTGCGATAGGTTAAGTATTTTTTTAACGCGAAAAATGGTAAATTCCGCCATCTTGGACGTTGCTGCTTGTCTGGCAACCTTGCTTTCTCCGCTCGGCGTTTGCAATTCTCGGAGCGAGAAGGAAGCGAGAGAGGCTGCGCCAAGGCGTTCGTTGCTTGCAATGGGAGGCGAGAGGAGGAAAGGCGCATGGAGCAACAGAGTTGCAACAGAGCGGGCGCCTGCTCTCGTGCAGGCAACACTGGCGCATATCCTTTCTCGAATCCTCTCCCTCATGCGCCGCCATTAAATTGCAAACGCTCTCCATGTTTTGAGTTGCGCCCACCCTCACTAGAGCCTCCCTACCGACGCCACGTCTACTGATGCGCCTGCATAGACCCGTCGAAAAGGGTTTAGGCGGTCAGACAAACAAACTTCGATATTGCCTGTTTTGTGTTTTCTGATAAAAAAAAAAAAAAATCACACACTGCTAGAATAAAACTTGAAGCAAATAAAAATGTTGTATGTGAAAAAATCGGTCCCAAATTTGCTGGATTTCGGAAACGTTTGTTTATTCAAATCTAGGTAACATTATTTTGAACATATCATATTGAATTTGGATTCAATAAAACAAACTAAGCTCTAGCTTTCCGGTGGGGTCAAGGTCATTATCATGCGTTAATTGGGTCACACCTTTGAATTTTTTCAAACTATTCTAAATTTTGTCAAAAAAATAGGTTCACTTTGTTTTAAATACTTCAAAAATATAAATCATTTTTAAGTCATTAAGCGTAATAAATTAATCTTGAGAATGTCAGAAAAGTGTCTCAGTGCAGTATATTGAGAAGTGAGAAAATGGTGAATGGTCATACATCTGGTTGCCGTCAGGTTGCAGAGGACAGGTGTGTCCCTTCGATGATTTTTGGCGAA